GGTCACAGTGAGGGGGTGTCACAGTGAGGGGGGGTCACAGTGAGGGGGTGTCACAGTGAGGGGGTGTCACAGTGGGGGGGTGTTGGGGGCCACTCTGTCCGGGGAACAACACTTCCACACACGACGATTCATCTCAACTCCTGAGTCCATCGTTCCCCTGCACAAACACTAGGGGGTGTGTATGGTCAAGAATCTGGCGACACGATGTTCATCACAAAGTACAGCAGGTGGCGATATGCTTGTAAGCGACACACTATTAAACCAGGACGTCACGTCACTACGTAGCCTGAGTGACGGTATCGTTGAAAATGAACAATTTTAACGTCAAACGCGGACAACGCCGACACATCCTGAACTGAGACTAGCCGCGGCCGCCGCTCTGGTCAGACTGACGTGTCGACACACGGGATGAAACTTCTGGAACCTCTAAAGAAAGTCAGATCTGTGCTACCTCCGACGTTGGCTCACTGACATGTGACAAAAAAAATGGTGATAAAATCGTATCGTGATCAAACGAAAAAACAAAGGGATCGGTATCAGGACCACGGGCTCACGTCTGCAGGTCAAACGTTGACCTTTCTCTGCAGTATTATTGTCCAGCTCAGGTTTCAGTCTATTTGAAGACGTAAAAATCCAAGCTGGAAATGAGACCGGGTTCTGCAATGGATTATGGGTCATCAGTGGGTGGGGCTTGAGTTGAACGTTTCAAACCTGTGGCTCAGTGACCACAGAGACCACAGAGACCACAGTGACCACAGTGACCACAGTGACCACTTCTTACGGTGACTGACGATTCCAGGGACCAGAACATCACTGTTCTTTGGAACTGTTTTTTTTTTTTGTGTGAACTCATCAGACCAGAGGATCGTTTGACCAGATAGTCTTTCCACAGACCTGCCTCCAACTGGAATGTCCTTGTCCTCTGTCAACAAGGGCGAAACCATGCCCAAAATCCTGTCACCTAATCTGTGGATCCTGGTCCAGCAGCAGCAGCAGTAACAGCAGCAGCAGCAGTAGCAGCAGCAGCAGCAGTAACAGCAGCAGTAACAATAACAGTAACAGCAGCAGCAGCAACAGCAGTAACAGCAGCAACAGCAGCAACAGCAGCAGTAGCAGCAGCAGTAACAGCAGCAGCAGCAGTAGCAGCAGCAGCAGTAACAGCAGCAGCAGTAACAGCAGCAACAGCAGCAACAGCAGCAGTAGCAGCAGCAGTAACAGCAGCAGCAGCAGTAACAGCAGCAGCAGCAACAGCAGTAACAGCAGCAACAGCAGCAACAGCAGCAACAGCAGCAACAGCAGCAGTAGCAGCAGCAGTAACAGCAGCAGCAGCAACAGCAGCAGTAACAGCAGCAGTAACAGCAACAGTAACAGCAGCAGCAGTAACAGCAGCAACAGCAGCAACAGCAGCAACAGCAGCAGTAGCAGCAGCAGTAACAGCAGTAACAGCAGCAGCAATAACAGCAGCAGCAGCAAGAACAGAAACAGCAGCAGCAGTAACAGCAGCAGTAACAATAACAGTAACAGCAGCAGCAGCAACAGCAGCAGTAACAGCAACAGTAACAGCAGCAGCAGTAACAGCAGCAGGAGCAGCAGCAGCAGTAACAGCAGCAGCAGCAACAGCAGTAACAGCAGCAACAGCAGCAACAGCAGCAGTAGCAGCAGCAGTAACAGCAGCAGCAGCAGTAACAGCAGCAGTAACAGTAACAGTAACAGCAGCAGTAACAGCAGCAACAGCAGCAACAGCAGCAACAGCAGCAGCAGCAGCAGCAACAGCAGCAGCAGCAGTAGCAGTAACAGCAGCAGCAGTAACAGCAGCAGGAGCAGCAGCAGCAGTAACAGCAGCAGCAGTAACAGCAGCAACAGCAGCAACAGCAGCAGTAGCAGCAGCAGTAACAGCAGCAGCAGCAGCAGCAGCAGTAGCAGCAGCAGCAGCAGTAACAGCAGCAGTAACAGCAGCAGTAACAGCAGTAACAGCAGCAGTAACAGCAGCAGTAACAGTAACAGGTCACAGTGAAGATGCAGTGAATGTTCATGTCTGAGGAGCTAAACCTCCGACAGACTGGACCTGGACCTGGACCTGGACCTGGACCTGGACCTGGACCACCAGTCTTTTCTCTCCCTGCGTCATGTCAGTGTGTGTGTGTGTGTGTGTGTGTGTGTGTCATTAACCTTGAGCACACAGGCATGTAGACAGGAAGGTGTGAATGACTGCGAGAACAAGGGAAACATGGTGGTAATTACCGGCTGCACGCTGACTGGCAATCATAGCCACTCCGCTCCTCACTGGTGTTCCCTCCTCCCCCCTCCTCCCC